TTATAAATTTTACTTTTTTTTTTTTTTTGTTTTATTTTTTTTTTAATTATGGCGGCAGCCCTGGTTTTTGATTGTTTTTATGTCACCTGATAACGTTATCGAAATCGTTTTTTTTTTAAATTTGTTTATTTAATACTTTTGTACGTAATTAAAAACGTTGGTAAAATTTTTTCTTTCGGATGACTTTTTTTTTTTTTTAAACAAATGTTCTACAGCCACGTTTAAATTTTTTCATAATATTGATAATAACGATGTAATAATCATTCTAAAACATTATTAAATAAATTGTTTTAATGTTAAATAAATGAAAAGAATATCAAAAAAGGTTTTAACGGTTCGGTTTACTTATTATCATTATCATTATCATCATCATCATCATCATCATTATTAAAATAAATAAAATTTTTTTTTTTATTTAAAAAAAGTAAATATAAAAAAAAGTAGATTTAATATTTTCATTTTCACAAATGTTTTTTTTTTAAATAAAAATTTTGGAAAAGTATATTTCCTTTTAAAATAATAATAATAATAATGATAATGATGATGATGATGATGATGATGATGATGATGTTATTAATGGGAATAATAATAATGATTAAAAAGTAACCGTGTCAGATGAGAAAATTATTTAATGTGCAGAAAAAAAACATTTTTTATGTGACAAATAAAAAATCGAGTTCGGTTCCCCGGTCACGGGGGTCAAACATTTGAAAAAAAAAAAAATATATCGTAGAATTTATCCTTCCTCCCCCCCAAAAAAAAAAAACAATCGAAAATTCTGGAAGTTAATAAAAAATTTAATATGATATTACGTTGTCACGTGACACAAAAAGATGACGTTAAAAAATTTTCGAGAAAAAAAAAAAACAAAAAACGTCAAATGAATAAATAACGTGTAAAGCAAGATTTTGAAAAAGTAATTGTTAATGATAATAATCATAATAATGATGATGATAATAATAATGATGATGATGATGATGAAAATATACAGAAAGGAAAAATTAATTATCGAAATAGATATGTATATATATATTTGAAAGGACGACGAGAAAAAAATTTTTTTTTAATACTAAAAATTTTATGAAAAACGTTAGTTAACATTTATTCAAATATGAAATACATATGTATATGTACATGACGTGTAAGCAAATAAGTTATGAAAAGAGAGAGAGAGAGAGAGAAAAGTATTTACAAAAGTAAAAACTTTTAACGTAATTAAATTTTAAAGTTTTCAAAGAAATGAAAAAAAAAGAAAAAAAAAAGTTTTACGGATAAGAGATTTAAATAAAACGTGGGTGGTGGCGTTGGCGGTGGTGGTGGTGGTGGTGGCGGCGGTGGCGGTAATAGTAGTAAAACTATTTCCACATTTTCATGCACGAAACTTTAATTTTAATCAATTTTAATTTTTTTTATATGCAAATCATTGCGGTAAAAAAAAAAAATGTTGTCGCCGTGGTTTTAGAAAAAAATAAAAACAAAAGTTAAAAAAAAAAAAAAAAAAATATTCAAATGAATAAATCAAAAAAAAAAAAAAAAAGCATTCGCATAATAAACTTTTTTTGAGTTTTGACGATTAAAAAAAAAAAAAAAATTAAATAAATTTATTTTTGGCATATAACGATAAATTTTTATGACCGCCATATTTTTTTTTATCAGAATCGAAAAAAAAAATTTTTTTTCCCTTTTAATTTATTCTTCGCTTGGAAATTTTTTTTATTTTTTTATTTTTAAATAAAAACCTTTTTCCTTTATTGACGTATTTATTAACGTTTATTTTTTCTTTTTTTTTCCTTTTTTCCTTTTTTTTTTGGTAATAATCACATTTTTTTTTTTTAAAATAATTTTTATGTTTATTACAAGTTTTTTTACTCCCCCCTCTCTCTCGCCCCTCCCCTCCCCAAATTTTATTTTATTTTTCAAATGAATTAAGAAGTTTTTCATAGAATCCGGGGTTTCCATTATTATTATTATTATTATTATTATTATTATTATTATTATTATTATTATTATTATTATTATTATTAAACTAATCACAAAATTGCATGATTTAATTTTATTTAAATGAATATTTACAAACGAAATTAAATTGTTAGTTAAATTTTTCCTTTTTTTTTTTATTTAAAAAGTTATTAATTAATTAATTAATTAATTCTAATTCCGATTCATCATCATCATCATCATCATGATTATTATGATTAAATAATGAATAAATTGTTAAAAATGATTAAAAACAATGAATTATAATAATAATATTATTTTTACGATTTATTTATTAATTAATATAATTTTAAGTATTATTATTATTATTATTATTATTTACGACTTCGTTCTGCGTTAAGATACGATTTCATTAACGTCCTTTTTCTTTTTTTTTCTATTTCATCCATTCCCCCTCTCTACTACATTTATTTTATTATCGTTTGTTTAAAAAAAAAATGAAAAAATATTTATTTATTTATTATTGTTTAAATAAATGACGTAACGTTTGACGTGTGGATATCTCGTTTCAATATTTGTATTAATAAAATACAAACGCGAAACATTAAATTTCAATTAATAATAATTTTTTTTTTTTTTTACTCGACCATTTTTCCCCTCCTCTCACTCACTAACTCACACTCTCTGTCTCCGCCCACTCCCGTTTTGACACCCCGCCCATTTTAACTCACTCCTCACCCTTACCGTACCTCCTCTCATTTTTAACTTCATCTCTTCATATTCCCCACCACCACCACCCATCAATTTTCAAATTTTTAAATGGATTTTGACGTTTTCGTTTTTTTTTTTTTTTTTTTCGTGGTGGAGAGGTGAGTGAGATTATGGGGAGTTAGGGGTTAGGGTGGGGGGAAATCAAAATTGTAATTAAAAATATAATCGTAAATTTAATAATTAATAATATTACGTATTAATTAATTAATTAATTAAATTTATGAATTTTTTTTTTTTTATAGAAAATTTTCAACCGCATTCATTTGTATTTGTGTAAATTTGAGTAAACGTAATTAATTCCTTCTCCCCACCACCCTTATCATAATTTATTATTTATTGATAACGTTAATATCGTGATAATACATATATGTATATATTTATACGTAAAAATTAATAAATTAAAATTGATAATGATAATAATAATATCGGAATTATTTTTATTTTATTTTTTATTTCGTTGACGGCATTTGTGGGGTTTAAAAATTTTCTATCTTTCTCTCTCTCTCCCTTTCACCCTCTTTTGTTTGCTTATCCTATTTCTAACTCTCTCTCTTTCTCTCTCTCTCGTTCATTTCAAATTTTTGTAATTCCTTTTATTTCTCTTTCCACACGTAAAAAAGGTTTCATTTCTCCCTTCCCCCTCCTTCCTTCATATACATAAATATATATTTATACGTACGCAATTCTTTTATTCATAAATATTTTTTATTCGTGATTTATGAAAGTTATGAAAAAAAATGTAAATAATAATAATAATACAATTGATAAAAATCATTAAAAAAAAAAATTTGTACGCATTTCAAGTATTTTTTTTTGTTTTTTTATTTTTTTTTATATTTTTCGCGTGTAAATTTATACGATTTAAAGAAATAATAATAATAATAATAATAATAATAATAATAATAATAATAATAATAATAATAATAATAACGGTGACGTATGTGATTTTTTATTTGCACTGGGGAAAATTAAAAAGGAAAAAAAGAAAAAAAATTTTTTTTTTTGTTTCGTTTTTGTTTCGATCCGGAAATCGATTGTAAATTAATAATAATTAATAATAATAATAATAATAATAATAATAATAATTTTATTTATTTTTTTAAATTGAAAAAAAAAAAAAAATTATTTTCCGAT